GTTATACCCATCCCGAAGTTTCTCGGCGGATTTGGGCTGTACTCTCACCAAGCACAATACAGCTCCAAACTCACGTTTGAAAGAAAATCAGCGGATGGTCCTCTACCCCTTTCAAGGTGAACAATCCATTATGTTGAGTCTGTTGACATCTTTCTCTTCTAATCTCCTTGTGGCTAACCCACCTCTGCCCCCGACGTGGCCCTAGAAATCTGGTGGTATACAGAACTGGCCGCAGGTTGGGCCGCCAGCGGCTCCGCACCAACCTTGTGAACCTGCAAACGAATGTTGCGGTCTCCAATCTCGGTTGTATTGAAGTCTGCAACCAAACGTGCAAACGGATTGGGATCTCTGCACACCCAAAGCTGAGCACGGCAACAGAGGTATTGACAACAACTCCAGGGTCGGAGAAAAGCAGTAGGTTCAACAAAATATGCTGTGATCAGTGGTGGCTCGGGACTGGACTGAGAAGATGAGCCTCCCTCGCACAATGATGTTGTAGTTCAAAAGAAAGGGCAGAACTGAAGGAAAATGATTGGTTATCTCTTTGTCTTTGTCTTCTGCAGATGAAGTGCTATGGTCCCGGGATAATGGCAGCACTCACACACACCGGGTAAATGGTCGAAAAAAGTGCAAGGATCACTGATTGACTCTGTTTATGGCCTCTTCTTTTATCAGATAAAGTCTTCTGTTCGTTGCGTTGCAAGGAAGTCGGAGCTTGCAAGGCTTGAGATAAAAGGTGTCGGTGCTCAAGATGTGCTTCGGAGAATCATCCGCCCAGTAGAGGAGTAAGTTCGATGCCGTTCTCATACGTCTGTGTGATCGTTGTCAATCCATTGCTGCTGAGATAGAAGACCCCAGCACTACTCAGATTGGGAAGAAATCCGAACAATCAATGGCTTGGCATCAATGATGCTTTTGTGCTCTTGTACAAGTTTTCCCATTTCCTGTGATTAGGCAGTTGAATCGACTCAGTACGTCCTTCGGGACATCGGTTAAAACTGGAATGATACAGAGAAGATAAGCATGGCCCCTGTGCAAGGGTGACACTCATAAATCGACAAATGGTCCAAATAAAAATAAAATACTACTAATAATAATAATACACACATAAATCGACAAATCGTCCAAATTAAAATAATAATACTAATACTAATAATAATAAAAAAAAAGGAGAAAGAAGAAGAACCAATTCAGTATAAATTTGGCAGGGTCTGGAGTGTTTGGGTCTCCCTGCACTACTCACTGGACGTGCAAAACGGAGTGCATCTGCAGATAAGAGGTGGAACACAATTTGAGAAAAGAAAAGCTGTTGGCACCACTGTAAAGTCCATTTGTCGAATTCACATGAAGAAAGGTTTCCCTTACATTTCCAAACAACTAACATGCGTTGTGGCCCTTGTGGGTGAATGGTGTATATACAAAGAACTCTTGATCTCTTGGATCGAGAGCTGAAGATATCAAGTGGTATATTGAATAGAAATAAATGTTATGGCTACCCTTCTTCACACTTCTTTGATGTTTTTTCCTTTTGTTCTCCTTTCGAAAGAAGCAACGTGACTGTGAAGCTGTGAACTGTGCCGATTAGGCCTGGCAAAGTAGGTCTTTGAATTATCGTCAGGTAAATAGGGTGATGCTCATTTCGGTAAGTTTTCTTTTTTTTTCCCCGTTTTTTAGAATGGCAACGTGCTTTAGATATCATCATCGAGCTGACCGGCCCCATGTAGGTTATTTGGAATTATTTTGATTGGATCTGGATTCAAACTCAGGTCTGTAATTCAACAGTTCAGGGGTGTACCAACTGAACTAGGCCTGATGGTCATTTCACCAAGTTTTCTGAGGCATGGTAACAGATTTGGGGGCCTGGCGTGGTGGATCAAATCTGTTGTCTCAAATCTTTCTTGAACCTTAGTGTGTCTGCTGGGTCGGTGGTTTCGTTATGCAGGGAGGGCGGAAGCAAGAAAGTTGAAGAGAACGAGGGTGCAGGGACAACCCTAGCATTAGGAGTACAAGAAACCGCAGCAATGCTGAAGATTGACAAACAGATTAAATTGCTGCCTTCTGGAGGCATTCTCAGTGTGAATGTTTACGATCCTCGCGAAGCAAGGTCGAAGTCGGAGTTCGTCGAAAAGAGAGGTCTTGGCAGGGAACTGGAAGGTCCCGGCAGGGAACTCGAAGGAGCCGCAGAGCCCTCAGAGAAGCCAGCCAAGCGCAAGTTTGAAGGCGATGAGGAGGGGCAAGAAGACGCAGAGGATGCCAAGTCTGGCAGTGATGACGAGGAAGGCAACAAGGAAGGCGATGAAGCTTCACGAGAAACTGACTCAGTGTTGAATGCTCCTGAGGAAACAGCAATGGATGTGATTTATGATGTCGTGGATGCCTGGTGGTTACCACTTGGATGCACTGGTGGTGTCGCAGAGTTGACCGATTCTCAGGATCTATGGGATCCAGAAAGGGATGCCATCGGAAAAGTTGTAGGAGGAACCCCGAGACCTGAGTTGTTCCCATCTAAAAAGCAGGTCATGAAGCAGCGCAAGCTTGCGTATCTCGAAAGTCTTCACAATAATCAAGGAGGTAATTCAGGAAACAGACCGACCAGACGTGAAGCATCTGATGTAAACGACAGTCGAGATGACTATGAAGAAAGTTGCCACGTCCTTCTCGTCAACTGTGGTGGACGTGAGTCAGCTTCAAGGTACGTAGATGTTATTCTTCATGCCAAGTCAGTGGATGACTATCTCATCTCTATCCCCTCTCCTCCAGTCAATTCTTGTCAGTTATGCGCAAGGCTATTCGTCAATTTGTCCACGATCTCTTGCACAAGCCAGTTCGGTTCAACTTAGTCCTAGCGTGCTCCTGTCTTGCAACAGCTATGCCCTGCTGCATATTGCACCTCTGTATGTCACTTGTGACCCAATGTGTTATGCAAGTCTTTTCTCAGATTTGTCTATCTGTTTCCGTCTCAAAGCCCTCACTAGGCAATGCAACTCTGCTTCCAGAATGTTCCTGGTTGTCCCCTGTGTCCATGCTGGAATTTCTGTTCTTTGGATGGTCTTACAGGATCTGCTGTTGCAAACTGGCTATCATGTTATCCTCTAAAATTTGAATAAAGTGTTGGCACGAAATAATAGCTGTGTGGAGAGAGAGAGAGAGAGAGAGAGAGAGAGAGAGAGAGATGCCACTTGTTGTGCTGTGCACAGTTGTAAAAGTAGCTGGGAAGTCACGGCGTATGGTGCAAAATCGTGCAAAAAGTAGAGGCTGGCCATGCGCACTGTGGGCTGGATGTGGCCCAGAGATAAGGGCGATGCCTACTGATCCCCGCTGATAGTTGGGCGGTTGTGGTCGGGTAGGTGGTCCCAATATTCTCCTTGTGGAGCTCTACGACCATTCTGGTTCTGCAGGGCCTTCCAAATGAGCCACGTGAGAAGATGGCATCATGTGAAGTGCATTTTGACCACTGCACCTGGGTCCATTTTTCTTTTTGTGCAGAGTCTCTGTGGGTCGTGGGATGTGAGAGACCTGCCCATTTTCCCTTATAGAAGGGTGTGTGGATGGTTACGGCTGTGCCCATGGCAGGCACATGGGGGAGGGAATGGAGGGGGGCAAGTGAGCGAGCGCATGCGTGAAGGGGAGAGGGAGGGGGGGGGGGGGGGGGGGGGGGGGRGAGAGAGAGGGGGAGAGAGAGAGAGAGAGAGAGAGAGAGAGAGAGAGAGAGAGAGAGAGAGTGCCGCTGTGCCATTGGGAAATCCCTTTTGCCCATTCGTCGAGCTGTGTGGAAGGAGAAAGTTTTCCTATGCGGGAATGATGATGCTGTCACAGATGGTGGGCAGTTCGAAGGATGTTGGTGTACGGCACAACCGTCTGGCAGCAGGGCATCTCCCCCAGCATGATGGAGCAATGGGGGAAAGTTTTTGCAAACAGTCAATATGGCGTGGTCTGCTTTTTCGGTTTAGGTGTTGGAGATGAGCACTCCCCACACGGTCAACGTGATACGGTTGTGGAGGGCAAGTAGTCCTTCGTGAAAGTTTGGAAGGACCTTGTTGTGCGGAGTGTGTCAGGTAGGCTGCACAATTTTTATCCATACAAGTCGGCTTGCCAAGCCATCAGTTTGGTACTATTGGGAGAAGTTCCCCCTCACAGACTGTCGCTCCCCAGCTGCATTTTCCTTTAAACGATCACTACCTCCGAGCCTCTTTTGGCCGAGGTGAAAAGAACTGCGAGCCAAGCTTTGCCTTAGCGCCAGCATGGCGTTTCTTTTGTCTTTTCATTGGGGCCGACAGCCATTTGGGTCCAGTAGCACTGTTCATCCGCAGATCCTGGAATGTTACATTTTCGGTTCTTTATGTTGCCTGGGAAAGGTAGTGGTGGTTGAAACCACCAGTCCCTCACGTGCTTTTAAAATTCGGACTACCAGTATGCTGTGTGTGGGAAAGAAGCAGGAAAATTTTGGGCCTGCCAGTAGGTGCAGGGATAAGAAAACTGCAAAACGATGTGATAAAAAGGCTCAAGTTTGCTGCTGGAATTTACTTTGCCTCCTTTTTTTGTCCCGCTTCGGTAAGGTCAATGCCAAACCAAACCGCTGGATTTGTTTCAGAACTTTTGGGTCAAAATTATGAACCTGAAAAGTCTTTAAAGTTGGCGCTCTGACATGTTCACGAGCTGGCGCGAGCTCCCTGTGGCTGTCAAGCCAAAATCCTCCGCGATCCGTCCGCATTGCAGTGCAGTCACAGGAAAGCCATCTCTTAATCAGAACAGGAATCTATTTTCATTGTTGTTCTTTACGTTGTCCTGCTATGTTGGCCTTCAAACAGAACAGGCCCGTCTACCCCTTGTGGGCCTTGTGGCTGCTATCCAATGCCACAATCTCATAGGACCTGTTGACCTACTACTAAAAAAAACAGAACAGGCCCGTCTACCGGTTGTGGGCCTCGTGGCTGCTATCCAATGCCCGTACATAAGGCAAGAGTCATCGTAAGTTACTGTAACAGTGCATGGGTGTTTTGCTCATTTACAGCTGCTCAGGGTTGTACCAAACTTGGAGGCTGCAATGTTTTGGTCAGCCTGCATTTCAGTATAACAAATATGATGCAGGGGTAGTGCGAATTCTTCATGCCCTCCCAGAACCGCATCCTCTGGAACCACAGGAGCTCTGGCTTGTACTGGAGTTGGAAGTCTCTGTCTGGGTTAGGCCGCTTTTCAGTGATCTCGCAGGGGTAGTGACAGTTCCTTTCCCACCTATCCCCTGGTGGGGGCGGGAAGGTCTTCGTTAGGGCTCATCAGCGATCTCACAGGGGTAGAACGAGTTCCTGTCCCCCGCAACCCCAAACCCAAACCCGTTAACCCGACTGCCTGCCATATTGCTTATAGGGTGTAACCCTTATGCTTATAGGGTGTAACCCTTATGCTTGTAGGGTGTAACCCTTACGCTTGTTGATGTCATAGTAGTTGGGCTCCTCTTATTTGCTAAACCACCAGTGCACACCCCCCTTCTCGAAAACTTGCGGCTGTACATGCGCCCTAAAAATGAAAGGTCGGGTGCACTGGACCCAAGGGGGATACACGGGTGTGTGCGAAATTCTGAGTATCCCGTCTTTGGCGATACTTAATCTATTTGCCGGCACCAAAAAATGATCAGGGATGTGGATTAGGTTCCCCCGCTTCAGGCGAAAAAAAATAAAATCACTTGGCTTTAGAATCGCCTATGGAAAAATATATGTGCCAAACCGAATGCATGTTTCAATCAAAGTCTGTCTGATCTTGTAGGGGTGACGTATCAGGCTGGGCAGGCCCAGGCAGTTTTCTTTTCTTTTCTTTTTTTCCTAGCTGAATCGTCTCATTAATTGATTGAAATTAGAGGCCGGGGACCTCACAATTCGACCCGGAGTTATCCTGGCAGCATTAGCCAGTTTTGCTTATACTGCTGTGACCAGAAAAAAAAAATAAAAAAATTTCGAAAACAATCGAAGAGTTGATGACCTGGTTTAGCTTACGAGCGATGCTTGCCACAAACTGCCCCAATCCTTCCTCAATCTTAAGAGTCCTATCTATCAGTTCCTGTATTCCTCTCAGCTATTACAGTTGTCGGCTATTCTTTAAGCTCTAGAGTCTAGAGTAACGAGGCCATCCCTGATGAGGTTCTGTCTCCCCGACTGCCGAAATTTAATGGCTAAACACTGTCCTGCTTGGTTAGACCCTAAACCCTCACCTTCCCCCACACAGTTCAACTCTGGACAAGAGCAGCCAACCTTTGGGAAGCAGCTACGTTTACCCCCTTGCCAGGCCCAGGCAGGTTGTTTCTTCCGTTTGTGACATTTTCTCGTGATTCAGGACTGAGGTTCCTTGATGTGTTAATGCCACTTCAACCACCAGTACCTTTCCCCACTTGAAATCTATCAGACGCGCTGGGCAATGCGGCAGCGAAGCCGGGGAGGCCCGCTGTTGGTAAATCGAGTCGGTGGCCGTTTTTCATTTCGGGCTGGGGAGGCCCGCCGTTGATAAATCGAACCGGGGACACCGCGTACGGCCGACATATGGGAAAGGTACTGGTGGTTTAATGATGAATGTGCTCGTTCACGGCATGCTGGTCTGCAGCAGAGGTGACACAGCGTTCTGTTTGAATATCTGTCTGAAGCGGCTCTTGTGTGACTGTCCCCCCCTGACCCCGTGGAGACTGGACAGGCCCAGCTTTGCGGCCCAGGACGTGGTTGCCCGCCCCCGTGTTGTGCCCAGTTCACAGCCAGCTGCTTTTTTGATGTGGTCGCATCTTGCTGTTTCTTTCTGTGTTTATTTTTTCCTCTTCAATGTCGAATTTCCGATGCGCGCACGTGTGTAGTTTTCTCTTTTGTATTTTGCTTGGGTCTACTGTCTTTATTTGGGCTGGAGTTCCCTGTTGCATGTGTGCTGTTGCTGTTTCTTTTTGTCTTTTTGTAAGCCAAGGCCGTCAGGCTTCTGATGAGTGTCCCTTGCGGTTTCCTTCGCATCTTCTAGTCCGATATTAAAAATGCATGCCTTGCAGTTTTCTTCGTCTTTTTCTCGTGTCGATGTGTCTTTGGCGTGCGGGATGGTTCAGCTTGATTGTCGACACATTTTTCAGGCTGCTGAGTGGACAAAAGTTGTGCCTAGGGGGGTGCGGTCCGTACCAATCAATGTGTTTAGTCAGGTTATCCCATATGTCGTGATTTGTGAATATTGTTGCCAGCCCATTAATATTCCAGGAAACTGTTCTCATATCCCATTCCGCCAACCCTGCCTCACAAGCTGGTTGCTGGTCTCAAATGATGTGACCTGCAACGGCGTCGGGACTTGGCACAACTTTTTTTTTTGTGCCAAAAACCAGACCTGTTAGGTACAGTAGTCTTTTTGAACTTGAAGTTGCCATTTGCGTCCTGGCACCATCAAAAATAATCTTTTAGAGGCTCATTGTTAGGTACCGTAGTCTTTCTGTCAGCAATCCATCCACCATTCTGAACTCGACACACATTTCGACGCTGTGCAGTGAGTCATGTGCTAGGCTACCAGATTGACACAGGACCACTTGCCCGGCCGGGCCAAAAAAAAAAAACAGTTAATTTTTATTTTTTATTTAAATTTGGTAGAATTTCTATGAGACAGTTCTTCACTTTATTTTTCTGCATAACAATTGTTTTTTAGATTTTTTGTTTTTGCTTTTTTTGCTGGAACCTCTTAGGGTCCTTTTACTCCTGGGCAGCCTGGGCAAACAAGGTGACCTGGGCAGCCCTGGCCCGGGCGGCCCGGCCGGTAGCCTAGATCATGTGATGATTTCCTTCAGGATACTGTCTCCTTGATAGAAACCTACCGCCTGCTGCAATAGTTGTCCTCTTAACTCAAATGCAGTAACCTGCCGACCCAAGGAAGTCTGCCTTTCTTGACAATGCATCAGCGACCATGTTATACTGCCCTTTGACATGCTTAGGAGTAAAATCTTACATATCTATGACGTGCATCCATCTTCTAAGTGCATCAGACAGTGTGGGCCGTGTCTTGATCCATTGGGCCTCTCATGGTCAGATCTGACTACAAGATGTCTGCCATCAAGATTATGCTTCCAGTGTTTCAACGCCGTGTACAATGCATACAACTCCCTCTCATAGGTCGAGTTTGCTAGCTTCTGAGATGGCATTTTTTTGGACGTATATATACTTGGTTGGTCTCAACTTCTCCCTTCTAATTGCTGTAATACTGCGCCTATCCCGTATTGACTGGTGTCAGTGGTAACAATAAACTGCTCGTCGGGATCGCCTGTCCCATATTCACTTGGTAACGATGAACTGCTTATCGGGATCGGCAATTTTCAGGACAGGGTGTGGCATAACAGCAGAATTTAATTTCTTGAAAGCACAATCACATTACTTTCTCCGATCCCACGGGGTGTCAACTCGAGCAAGATCAGTCTATGGGGCAGCTATACTGTTGTAACTTGCAATTCTTTACAAATGTCATATACAGGCTATAGTTTTCACATGAATAGCACACCTGGTCATTTTCACTGTGCCTAGACTGGAAGTTCTGCCAAATACAGTTGTAATGACCGGGCGTTCTATTTGGATGAAGACGGTAGCATATAGCCACCCTCTCTTCGCGCCCCCTTTATCTGTCGATTTTCAGAGCTTTTCTGTCTGTGAGGAAAATGTAGCTGTTTTCTTTGGGGCCACAGTTACCCATTTGTCGGTCTCTATTTCTTGAGTAGACTGCTGTGTAATTCCCTCAAAAACCTTCGCTTATATTGTGGAGGGAGATTGTATACTGGTCATGGACTTGGGATTCGTTTCTCGGGTATTATGACATTCCTTGATGTTACTAGGAGGAATATTTGCATTCCTCCTCTTGCCTAAATGGCTGTTGACTCCAGAGGCCTGTGGGAGTATTGCTGCACATGCATGGGAAGGTTTTGAGCTTGGGACTCGTGTCTCAGGCATTATGAAACCCCCTTGCATTATTGCACATGCAAGTGAAGGTTCTGGGCTTGAGATTCACATCTCCGGCTTGTTGAAATCCCTTGCCGTTGCTGAGAGGAATATGTGCATTTCCTCCTCGCTTAAATAGCTGTTGATTTCAGAGACTTGTTGGGGAGCACCGTTGCACACGTAGAGGAGTGTTTCTTTCGAGCTTGTGCTGTTGTTCAGCATGTCATATCTTTTAAATAATGACTCATTGTTAATCAGGCTAACATGTGCTTTTAGATGAGAAGTATCAAAATGGGACATGGAATGCATGTCTGGCCTCAGCCTCCACCTTCTCTGGTGTCTTCATGAACCTGAGGCAGTTGGATTCTGAGTGTGACTAAAAAAGGGCTCAGGTGATGGCCACTCTGTGGAATGTTGAAGGCACTTGTGGATAAGTGCTGGTAGCTGTAATGATTGTACCGACTTTCAATGATTGGCTATTCAGTTAGAGAGTTTATTGGCACTCACCTGCCAGGTTGACGTGCAGTATTGTCTAAAGTCTCTAGTGCTTTCTGTTCGGCCTTGGCATTATTGGTAATTGCTTGGCAGATGGCTTCATAAAGGTTGAAGAGAGGCCTGCCAATTTTAATTACCTGAACTTTCCTGAAGCTGTTATTTGTTGCATCAACTGGTGTTGGGAGAGAAAAGTGGAGGGGGAACTTTGAAAGAAGGGGTAAAGAGTGGGTGGCAACCTGGTAATTGAGGAGGTGGGATGGGTTGGTGGGGTGGTGGTACAAGGGAGCAAGGGGGAATGTTTTGGGCAATCGAGCAAGTTGCATTTGTTGATCGCAGATGTGCGTGGCTGTGCATGCAGATGGTCTATCATCATGCCGTGGAGGTGGGCTGCACCCTTCTGGGCTGCGTTGGCTGTCAACACGGCAAGCGCGGTCGGAGTCACGGATTGGCGGCGCATGATCACTGAGGTAAGACAACAACTGTGTTGTTCAGTCGTCTTGCCCCATCTATCCACGCAGTTACTGCACATCCTGATGTGCTGTGTGTGGAGGTGGGGCGCAGCGACATTTTTGACCTCTGCGATTGGCTTTAGCATGGAGAACATGCAAAGCTAGTGAGGAAGAGACATGCTCAAAGGTGTGGGAAACACCATTGATGCCTTTGAGGCTTGTTCTTGCATGCTTCTTGATGCAAGACATCCGCTTAGCTCTCATTTTCTCCAGCAAAAACCTGGAGCGCAACAAAGGGTAGTGGCATGCCTGATTGCCTGGGCTATGGTTGTGACTGCTTCTGTGAAAGAGTCCGGGAACGACGCTCAGCTTGCATCAAAGCTTTGCCGTGATGAAGTTGCCCAACCACTAAAGCAGAAGGAATGATATCCCGTAAACCTGGCTTCCGTGGGACGAGGATCTGCATGGCATTGCAAATTTCGAGTTGTAAATTGAACTGCAAGAGTCCACACTTTTGGAAGAGACAGCAGCTGTCTTGTGCTGTCGTTTGCTGTGCTGTTGGCTGTGGTTCCTTTTGCTGCTGTGCGTGGGCAGTTCTAACTTTTTGAGTTGATGTGGACAGTTCTCAGCTTGCAGCCAGTACCCCATGTCACAGTGGGTGTGGGTGCTACTTGAATGCTGAAAGCCTACTCAACAGTATCATTGGAGCACATGTATCTGTCAGAAGGTGACTGTGCCCTTCTCGAATTATTAGCACTTTGATGTGCGGCAGGGATTGCAGCATCTCTACTGTACGAGATATCTGCGCACCATCGTGGCTGTGGGGAGCCACAGAGCTACTGCAGATGCTGACTCATCAGCAAAGAGGGTTGTGCAGGATGGGGGGCAGGCGAGTGAAAACAGGCAGGAAATGAAGCAGGAGTTGTGGGCCAAGACAAACATGTGCCCACAGACTTCTTCTTTTTTTTTTTTTGGAAGACCAGCCCTCGCCCGGCAGGGGGGGTGATAAGAGCAGGCCCTCCTACTTTTTATTGGTGAGGAGCTTCACCTGCTGGAAATGGGGTCCAGCGTCCCTTGAAAACAACAGAGTTCTTATACAGAAGCAAAACATATCCCGCCAGCATTGATTGCCCCAGATGATTGTGGGATTAACTGTGAGGGTGAGAAACCACCAGAATTGGGGAGCCCTCTGCCTCTTCAACCTGCAGGCCACCTTGAAAAGCGCATTAAGTGGGTTTTATGGTGGTGAATTTGGTAATGGTCTGGCTCTTCCCGGGCTATTACCATTCTTGTTAGGGGTACAAACTTGACAGACTGCCAGGATTGCGAGGTTCGTGTGCCTCGAGCCAACCGGTTCTCTCAACAATATCACAAAATTCTAGCGAGTCGCTATGTTGAGAGGCGTATACCAAATACATCCTGGACAGACTGATGAAGTTTAGCCTCCCCCTGAGATGACGAAAGTTTGACTGAACGCTTTGTCACAGTCATGCTTTTTCTGTGGTGTGTGTGTGTGTTTGGAGAGGGGGGGGGGG